AGCAGGTGGGATGAGCCTCCCACGATGGCCAACCTCACCCTGGGTGAATCAGTTGTTAAATTACACTGCCCCCCTGCCCCCCCCCCCACTATTAAAGTGGATTCGGGTGCTGCGCTGCAGTGGAGAAATGGGGAACAGAATGGCTAGCTAGCACAAGGGAAGGGGGAGGAGCAGGGAGAAGAAAGAGGGAAAGTGGCCTTCTCCTCCCCTGACGCCGGCTGCTCCGTTGCCCATTTCTCCATTGCAGTACAACACAGTGCCTAGGATCCACTTTGATAGTGGGGGGGCAAGTAATTTAACAACCACTTTGCCCAAATCGGCGAGAACTAGCTGAATCCCACCACTGTATATACTATACTACTATTATATTATAAATACTATATAGACTGGAAAACTAGTTGACCAGGATGGTATAAAGGTGTCCTTGGGCAGAGTGTTAGATGAAGAGGTCTCTTCCTAATTCTCTTCCAGCCCTATGATCCTCTGTTCTATATTCTATTACCCAGCAGCATTAGGTCAACAGTATCAAAAGAGTGAGTAGGATTGGGCCCTACAGCTGCACGTTTGGCCACTGTCTGACAAAAAATGCTGGTAGACCAGATGGTCCTTGGCTTGATCCAGGAGAGTCAGAATATTAGAATAAAACAAGAGTTGGAAAAGATCTGGGAGGTCTTCAACTCCTTGCTCAAGCAGGAGACACTATCCCATTTCAAACAAGTGGCTTTCCTGTCTCTTCTTAAAGGCATGGGTGGGATTCTACCGCTTCAGCCCAGTTCTATAGAACCGGTAGCTCTGAAGAGCAGCTAACACCAAACTGGTTCTCTCTGAAGATCTTCTTTTATTCGGTTGGGCCCACCCGCCTGCCCAGGCTCTAGGCTGTCCTTTATTCTTACCTTAGTTGCTTTGCGTGGCACAGCTGAGTGCCGCGCGTCAGCAGGAGATGGTGATTGCTTGCAGGATAAGTTGTTTTGCAAGTACTATGCATGCACGTGCAGCACACGCTCACCGAACCAGTTGTTATGCCGGTAGGATCCCACCCCTGCTTAAAAGCCTCCAGTGATAGAGCACCTACAACTTCTGGTGGCAAGCTGTTCCACTGGTTAATTGTCCTCCCCGTTAGGAAGATTCTCTTTAATTCCAGGTTGCTTCTCTCCTTGATTAGTTTCCACCCATTGTTTCTTGTCCTGCCCTCCGGTGCTTTGGAGAATAAATTGACCCCTTCTTTGTGGCATCTCCTCAAATGTTGGATTACTGCTATCATGTCGTTTTTTCTCCCCAGACTAGCTAAACCCAAATCCTGCAACCGTTCTGCAACCGTTTAAGTCTCCAGTCCTTTAATCATCCTAGTTGCTCTTCTCTGCTCTTTTTCCAAAGTCTCAACATCTTTTTTTAATATTGTGCTGTATTTCAAGTGTGGCCTTTACAAAGGACTTTACAAAGAGTCCTTGGAGTCTCTACCTTTCCTTCTTCAACTTTTCTCCTTTCAGTTTCCCCTTGATTTCATCCATTTCATACCACCATTTCCCAAGATACCCCCCACCCCCCGCCTTCTCCTGTTGAATATCACTCAAGATTTGGTTCTGGTATAGGTTGCAATGATGATCTAAGAAGTATTTTGTTTTTGGTTTTGCCCAGGGCTTATAAATATGCTGGCTTGGTATATGGAGCAGAATGCTATTGTGGAAACCAGCTGCCAGTGAATATTGCAAAGCAGGAAGAGTGCAACCATGAGTGTAAAGGGGAGAAAAGGACCATCTGTGGAGGTATCAACAGGCTGTCTGTTTACCAGGTGGAGGAATCAGGGGCAGGGCCTAAACGACGTAAGTGATGTAAGCTTCTTAAGTGAGTATTTATTCCCAATAGGGTTGGGCAACAGAATGCATGTATTGTTTTCTGTTTGACTGTTTATTCGATGTTGATAGATAAGCAGGGATAAGCAGTAAGTAAGTAGATAAGCAGGGATTAATACCAGACAAACAATCAAGCAGAAGGCTTTATGGGCGGGACCCGAAAATACTTCTAAATCTCTATTATGGGTCCAGGAGATGGAACTGGGAAATTGATGGGATTACATTTTGAACTCTATATTCACCTGATTAGTACAATTCTAGGTTGTCTCTTTGCTGATGTTCACATCAACTCATGGTATGATATGGAAGGACCCTACAGACATATAGATTAGGACTTTCTACAACTGACTTTGTTGTGGGGTTCTTAGCTCCTGTCCTATCTGTAGTCCATCATTAAGGGACCAAACAAGAGAAAAAAATGGAAGATTCTAAAAAAAAAAAAAAAAACCTGTAATGAGTAAGAGTTAATTTGGCAATGAAAAAAAAAAGTCAGGGTAAACTTTGTTCATCTTTTTTGTTTTTGAAGGAAAAACAACGTTTCATTTTTCATCCTTTTCTAGTTATCCTGTTATGAGTGGGAAATAACATATCTTAAATATCTGATTCATTCTTATTTTGCTCAAATATATAGCTCCCTATGCATGTCATTTGTGGAGAAGGAATGCTAACATTGTTCCCGCTGCTAATAAAAAGGATTTTTAACCTGCAGAATTTAACCTGCTTCTTGGCCAATTGCAAAATTTGCACCTGTGCTTCTTCAAGTACAAATGCAGCCTAGGGTTTATTGACTGATTTAATTGTTTGTTCCCAGAATTGGGGGTGTTTGAGTGGAAAGAGGGAACACAAGTAGTCCTTGACTTACAACCATTCATTTAGTGGCCGTTTGAAGTTTCAACGGCACTGAAAAATGAGACTTATGATGATTTTTCATATTTACGATCATTTCAGCATCCCCATGGTCACGTGATCAAAATTCAGATGCTTGGCAACTGACTCATATTTATGATGATTGCAGTGTCCCAGAGTCACATGGTCACCATTTGAGGCCATCTGACAAGCAAAGTCAATGGGGAAGCAAGATTCACTTAACAACCATGTTACTAATTTAACAACAGCAGTGATTCACTAAACACCTGTGACAAGAAACTCTATTCCCCTTTTTTTATGAAACAAAGAAAAAGAAGAAAAAGAGTATTATAAAATATGGGATTTATTCTATCTATGGTTAGATAGAATAACCATTATACTTCCATACAATAGCAGTGATAGGTTACAACTGATTATTTTTGAATAAATTATAACACGAATAAAAATTAGTAAGAATTGAGATTTGCTCTAAAGGATAATATGGAATTGAAATTAAAGTCTAATGATGGTGCAATAATAATATAATGATATGAAAAGTGAATCAATGCAATATGAATGTAAATTTAAGAGGTAAAGACTATAGATATTGTGCACAAGACACATGTACCAACCAACTATATAACTGAAAGAAGGTGTTATTTGTTGTTTTACGTTTATGTTTGTTGTTAAAAATAAAAGAAACTTTTTATAAAAAAAGAAAAGAAACTCTATTCTTGAAGCTTTCAAAATTATGATGGATACCAATTTGGCTCTGAGAAATGCCTAAGTAAAAAGGCATTATTATTGATTAAAATAGCTGGACCATTTAATTGATTAATTGGGAGGAAGATTAAGTGATTGGCATTTGCTATCTTATTCTGATTGACTTAGACATAAAGCCTGCAATATTCAATGGAACTTAATCAAAAAATTTCTGGCTGAAGAATTGCAACCTCTGCATTTTTCTTAAAATGTGCCCCAATTAATTAATTTTTTTTTTTAGTAAATTGCTCTTAATCGTGGTACTTACAGATTCTGCAAAGTATGTCATCCAAAAAGGTACTTTCGCATTCTGGCTGACTCTTCTGTCCTGATGGGGCAGAGAATGCATTTTTGTCATCTTTCATATGCAGATTTAATCAAGATTAATTGGTTCATCACATAAAAATCAGTTGCTTAAGAATTTTCTAATAAGGGACTTGCCATCTCCTGAATCCCTCCTGTTCTCTAATGAAACCAGGACTTTGTGAACATTTCATTTAAAAACCTAGTGATCAAGAAGAATGTGATGTCTTTGTAGGTTTCCTTTTGTTTTCTGTTGAAAATAGAGAAGCTCGGGTTCTTAGACGTTCCCCCTTTAAAGGACAGAAGTCAAAATGAAATACAGATTGTCCTCGATTTAAAACTATTCATTTAGGGACTGTTCAAGTTACAACCGCGCTGAAAAAGTTGGTTTTCACACTTATGACCGTTGCAGCATCCCTGTGGTCACATGATCAAAATTCGGACGCTTGGCAACTGGCATGTATTTATGACGGTTGCAGTGTCCTGGGGTCACGTGATCCCCTTTTGGGACTTTCTGAGTAGCCAGGTCAAGGGGGAAGCCAGGTTCACTTAACAACCGTGTGATGAACTGAACACTTGCAACGATTCACTTAATAACTGTGTCAAGAAAGGTTGCAAAAATGGGGTAAAAATTACCTAACAATTGTCTAACTTAGTGACATAAATTTTGGGCTCAATTGTGGCCATAAGTCAAGAACTATCTGTATACAACATTATCCCTATGTACAATCCATGCAGAGGTGGCATTCAGCGGTTCTGACCAGTTCTGGAGAACCCAGAGAGGAAATTTTGAGTAGTTTGGAAAGACCACCTCTGACTGGCCCCACCCCCATCTAGTCTCTGCCTCCCGAGTCCTAGCTGATTGGCTAGGTCTTCTTTTGTTGTCCTGCACAGGAGAACAGAGCTGGAAAGCAGGTTAGTGGGGTGGGGAGGGAATGGGATTTTGCAGTAACCTTCCACTGCCACGTCCACCAAGCCACACCACGCCCACCAAGCCACGGTAGTAAAAATGTTTGAATCCCACCACTGAATCCATGGCTTCCTCCTTCATTAAAGTCTCCTAGCTTTCAAGGCTCTTTGGCAAATCTTCATAGGTACTTTATTTTTTGTAACTGAATGTTATTCAAACTTTTGGAAAGTTTTGGATCCCTCTGGATTTAGCTGTTTTTATTTCTGATCATCACAGTATCCCAAAGGTGCTTTTTTCAAAAGGCAACTGTCCTTTCTTTCTTTTTCCTTGAAGACATTTTGCTTCTCATCCAACAAGCTTCTTCAGTTCTAAAGAACTGTTTCTCAGATGAAAAGCGAAACATCTTCAAGGAAAAAAACAAAGTCCAGTTGCTTCTTGAAAAAAAGCACCTTTGGGACAACTATGTCCTGGATGACTGAGTATCTTCATAGACGGATCATCACAGTAGAACTCTATTTAGTATTTGAACACTGAAATAACCTTCCTGCTTATGAAAAGGAATAAAGATGAAGAAATGTTTTGTGTAAAAAAATAAAACCTTCCCCTCCAGACACACCAGACACAAATACACAGGAGGCTTCTTGAAGCTGTTTTTGCAAATCATTGAAATTCGAGGTCTCTCCTGGAAGAGGAACAATTTTGGAGATTTTTTTTTTTTTAATGAAGAGTTTTTCAGGGGAGAATTAGGAGGAAGGAACAGAATAGATGAGATATTTGCACAGAAAAAAATAGTGTTATTTCCCTCAAAGGAAGGGGATCATTTCAAATCAAGCTTTTTACAAGCAGATAGGGCCAAGCTAGAAATCAGGAATTGTGAGTAGGCTTCACAGAAACTAGATTATTTTCCTCTCCCTCTCTCTTCCCCCTCCCTCTCCCTGTGAAAGTAGGTGTGTGTGCTTGTGTACATTCCTTGTGGTGATGGGAGGTTTTCCTGGTTGCTATTACTGAAGAGCAAACGTCTTGTTTTTCTTTGCAGGGCAAAATATTATCTATCGAGGATGTTTTAAAGTGCCAGAAAATTTAACAAACATCTTGCCAGCTTCGTTAATACATTCCAATTTGACAGTGGAGATGTGCTCTGAATTTTGCTCCAAAAAGGTAAGAATTCCTTTTCCTTATCCTCTTTTCCTTCCTTCCTTCCTTCCTTCCTTCCTTCCTTCCTTCCTTCCTTC